CTACTTCGTCTAAATTCTAGTCGGATTGAAATACAAAAGTTGTAGTTGGATGTCTTACGACGGGCTCCTCTCAGCTAGGCTTAATGCCACTGTAAATTCCGAATTTCTTGAACGGTCGAGAGGTAATTTGCATCCCACGCTGCTTAGTGAAACGGCTCTTATGTATTTCCAGTTTAATAAGTCCACGAAGCGGGGAAAATTTCAGAGCTCATCGTCGATGCATCTCCAGCGAGTTAATATTATCCTCTTACTTTAAGTACAAGCTTCTGCTGAAATGGGTGTGTAAATGTTGACGTCATGTATCAAAGGAGATTCTCTTCTATTCTTCGAGAGATTAGCAAGAATTCCGATCGATCTAATTCCCAACAGCCTCTTTGGGAGTCAGCTCGATCGCTTCCTCGTTCAGACGGTACCCGACTCGAGCGGATTCACTGAGAATCGTCGACTAGTTGTCTCGAACGCGAACGGTTTCATCATCATCCATGCAAAAAAAGATTCTCGATGATGCCAGGACATCGTTACTAAGCCGTCGCTACGCCGGTGTGTGAGCGATCTAACAGAAAAGGAACGGAGAAACGCAACCGTAGGAGCAATGCCCCTTGGGTCAGGGTCAGTACCCTTTGGCACAAGCCACTCGAACCACAGCCACGCACATACACGCACGCGGGACTTGCTCGCTCGCTCGCTCGCTCGTTCGCGCGACTGCACACGCACACCTGCGGGCCCCCAGTTTTCGGCGCCGATAGCCGAAAACGCCCGAAAGGATGCGTTAGAAGCCGCCATCTTCTTCAGCGGACTCCACCGTGCCAGTCACGAATAGAGGCTTCACTCTGTCGTGTCTAACACAGTTATCGAACTAGAGACCAAGGGCAGGGAATTTTAGGCTCACCTTTTATCCCTTCTTCCATATGATTCCTGTTCCCATTTGGGATATGAATTTTAAGAGAAATTCGCGCGTTCCTCCGGACGATAATAACCGGCCCCTCGAAGAGCAAAATCGTGACCAGCCGTTCCACTTAGGGACGGACGAGTGGTTCCGCGTGATCTTGTTATGCAAAGAAGTACCTAGGCGACGTTTCTACTTCGACCAGCTGTAGGCCCGACGCGATTTGAAATTGTAATCGTAACGCTGCCGGTTCGTATTACCGTTTCCAACGACCAGCTCTCTCTCTCTCTCTCTCTCTCTCTCTCTCTCTCTCTCTCTGTCTTTCGGTCCCTTTGACATTCTTCTCGGTTCTATTCGTGATTCAGAGATCGGCTAGACCAAGCAGGTACATCTGAATAGACTAGGACAACCTTGACCAACCGGTCTAGGAATCTATGTCTAGACTACGTCTAGCCAAGCGGAGCGTGACTAACGACTATCGCTCTTTCTATCGTTCTTCTCGAGGTCGCGTCTAGAACTTCCGATCCCAGTGAAGGCACTTGCTATTCGCTCGAATCCGCTCGACCGGTTGTACCGTCCGGGTTTCAGGTGGACAGACAACGACGAACGGAAGCGAATGAGTCAATTAATGTTGCGGTTCGCAAGCACATGTAAATCTTCGTTGTTTAATTATCGCATTATACGATGCTCGCGAATGGGTCGTGGCACTGTAACGAAAATTTCGGCGTACCCAACCACTCGACGCCAGGCGTAATAAGAACCGCCCCATGGACGAAGCACACACGGATCGATGTCGAGCATGCGTTTATCGTTTTCCAGCGTAGCTCTCGCCCGATTGTCCGAGGTCTCGTTTGCGTTCCCAATTAATTATTATCAGACCGACAATTACGGCATCGCGCGACCTGCAATTTAATACAGCTCGGCACCTATTACATAATTACAATTTAAATCTAATTCCCTGGCACCGTTTGGGTTCCCATTGTATCCACGCTTGCTAATCGATAACTGTTCGCCGGTAATGAAAGCAGAGACGAAGGATACGTATCTTTCCACGCGAAAGAACATTTGTACCTTTCTATTCAATCATGGAACGCATTATTTAGAACCGATAACTATTTCACCGCGATTAAAACGAAAACTATGGGTCGCCGATGGACGAACTCTTACCGTACGAAATGAAACATATAATCAGGTTTAATCGTATTAAGCCAGGACCCGATGAACGGTGGCAATTAAGATGGTACGTGCCCCGTTCGGTGCTGTTCGAAGAGGAATCAGGTTCCTCGAACTCGCGACTACTCCCGCGGGCAAGGGTCGTCCTCGTAACGTCGTATCATCGATACGCGTGTCGATGAAATTGTAGCGAGAATTTCGCGAGTAAATTGCAGAGTAATCCGGCTACTTTCTTGCCGAAGGAGGTTTCATCGTAAATTGCCGCTCGATTCGGCTGAGTTCGATTCGGCTTATAGGCGCTAACTTTCTTACGCTAACTGCGTGCACGTCGGCCGACAGATGGCCCGATTCCACCGTGGTAATTAGGGTGGTAGCGATTTCTCATAATGACGGATCCCCTTCCGATCGTTACGAAATCCCGTCGATTCAGCTTGGGTCAGGGGATCGTAATCGAATTTCTGTAGCTGCGATCTGCCTCCCCCCTCTCGAAGACGCTTAGCCGCCGTGAGAAAGTAAATAGTCTGATAATTTAGCTCCTGTGGTATCCTGTTTAGCACCTAACAACGAAGACATGTATAGCCATTCTGGCGACCTCGAACAGAGCCAGTTGATTTCCGTACCAACACAAGCTTAATGATTGTCTTCGCAAGGGGGCGACAACCCTCTGACCTCCTTGCAAACGGGTTAAAACGGTGTTCCCATTTAATACTGCTTCGACTACCATCTTCCAGCGGACTCGATCCACCAATTATTTAAATGAAAGAACCTCTTTTCACCGAGAAATAGTTCCCGTCGAGCGTCGTCTCGTATTAAACTCGTGGAATTTCTTCGATCGACCGGCTGTATCGAAGTCTCAGGAACGTTCCGTGTACCGCGTATCGATATATACACGTTCCACGGAAATTCTAGCGAAGAGTGATAAACGGAACAGATAAGAATTCCGTGGTATGTGGGGCGAGGTGGAACGCGCGCGTTTCCTGTGTGCGAAGAGGTACATTAGTTACTGGCGTATTCCGGTTGAATCGGCGATTCGTTAGTTCTCGAAGGAGCTCGATCGGTTGCCAGAAACTGCTGAATTCTGGACCATGCATTAGGATTAGACTCGTTAGTCAGTACTAGGCCTTCGTGAGCGTCCTAATCGGAATAAAGGAGAGTCGTTAAGAGCGGACCAGAGAGGCCGGAAATTATTTCCCTCTCGATGTCGCCCCTTTAACGAACGCTCGAGAAAACGTGCCCCGCGCTCGATACCCAGCCTCCTCGTTCACCCTTTCTAAATCGGTGAGACGATCGTCGGCAGGCAGAGGAGGCAATGAACCAATCAAGCCTTCGATCGCGGAGAGGGTTGAGAACGGGGTCGCGCAACCCTCCTTGGTGCGACGCCCGCGAGGACCATCGGCCTCGAGATAAAAGCGATTTTTCCGTGTTTGTTGGGACGCAGGATGTGCAATTTCCGAGGATATGTATCTGTCTACAAAGAAACACAGCTCTAATACGTGAAATCTTTTTCGTACCAAGGAGTTTCATCCTCAAGTGGGAACAGCGATTTCTGATTTGAAAATAGAGGCTTCCCCACGTCTTTTGATATGCACAGAGAAAACTAGAGACCAGAGATGTCGGCGACTCCGTAGCTGAAAATCTACGGGAAAACGGGAGACGTCCCGTCGTCGGAAGCCCATGTCAAGGTGTTCTTAAAGGGAATATAAATGCTTCTCCGTACCGCTTCGAATCTTCTCTTTCTACCGGGGGCTGAGCTGGTTTAAATTTTCAGGACATTCGCCGGAGTGCTCGTTGAATCTGGCAAACAGACCGATAAAAATTGCTACCAGAGAAAGCTTGCCGATATATACGGGTAATATAATGGTAAGGAAAGCGTGTCTATTCTTTGCGAAAAGATTAGACGGAGATAAGCCACTCCTCGTTCGGCTCGATAAAACGATCAACGGTTTCGCGAGTCGAAGTCGTATTGCATGTCCTCTGATATTACATTCTTCGACTGTCTCGTTCTTATCGGACGTCGTACTTTGCCACGTCACCCGTCGCCCACTATCCAGCGTTGCTGTCGAACTAGAAGGTGTCAACGTGTCGAACGTGGAATTGAATGCAAAAAAAAAGAAAGAGCAGACCGCAAGGTTTCCCGCGGTTGGTACGGTTTTCCGGTTGATTTGCGCGCGGCTACGCGAGAACGGAAATGATGAATTTCTGCTCGGAGGGTTGCCCGAAGGAGAGGAACTTGGAAGCGCGCGCTAGTTCCGTTTCGCTGTCAATTTCCTGGACAGATAACTCTCCCCTTCCGTTATTCGGCATCTCCTCCGGGAATCGTGGCTACCAGATGCTGCGCGCGCGCGCGTATCCGTCAACGATATTACAAACGTTTCCTAGGCTTTTCGAGGCCGATTCGAGATCTCGTACACGTTGACCCAGTTTTCTGTTTCGTAACGAGGCGAAAAGTTTCCCGGCGGAATAACCAAAGGGAATCGAAGTTCGCGCGATTTCACGCCGGAAACACAGCCTGTCGCGGTACGTTTATTCAAAGGCGTCGTCCCGTTACGAAATTTTCCCCTTAAATTCGTGTGTATCTCCGACGAATTAGTTGGCCGCTATCCACCGAAACGTCAAATGAGCCTCCGTAAATTCCCAGATTAAGGTGCTTTAATCGCAACGAACGCTCGTGGAAGAAGTCGGAGCCCCGCAACTTCGTAACTCCTTCTGCCCACGAGAATTACGTGTTCGCTTGAAATCACGGATTCTTACGACCGGTTATCTCTCTCTCTCTCCCTCCCTCTCTCTTTCAGAAACAGCTGGATACGTTTCACGCTCGAGCGAGCGAGTACCCATCCTTGATGTTCCTTCGCTAATGTTGCTGTTGCGATAGAGATTGATTAATGACACCGAGAGAAACGATTTCGAACGGACACTCGATCAGCATTTCTTTTGATTCTAGCTGGTGAACGGCCTCGACGGGTCCAGGTACATCTGCGAGACCGAAGTGATGGAGGAAGTGAACGTGGCGAACGCTGCCCCGGTCGAATACACTCCTCCGCCAACGAATCACACGAACAAAAATTCGAATGGGAACATCATCACCCTCACCCTCAAGAACAACCATCTTATCGTGGAGACTGAAGAAAGAGCGGTGAGTATATCGGGGAATGATCGAAGAGAATATTCAATCTATATGTTGATCGTATTCGTGAATACATAATATGGATTTATTAGAACGGGCGTGAACTATTTCGAGGTGGATGAACTATCGGGGGTGGGACGGGATGAGACGATTTTGTTACCGGACAAAAGGACTTCTCCCACGGATCCAATTAAATGAAATTCGTCGATAATTGGAAGCCCCGGTTCATTAGCGATTCGCGAGATAGGGAAGAAGCGAAAGAGACGACGGGGGCATTTCGTGATCAGAGTAATAACTGAAACGTCGGTTAGTCCGCTTGGAAGATAAAGTTTTGCTGTAGCGAGGGTCCAAAAGAGCCGTTAATTAGGTTCGACCAAGAGGGAGAGAGAGAAGTAAAAGGGAACGGACACGATGCCGGATAAAAGTTCGTACCCGGGCCACAGAGATGAACCTTTGTATCTCTTTCTCCTGAAAGAGGGAGGTTCGTCGCCCAGTGTCGGAAAATCGATCGTAACGGACAACGGCAACGTTTCCGTTTTAGGCAGAGGGGGCGTAAACTTTCACGGTGGTTTAATTGTCAGCTGAAACGAGAGCCTGCTCCCTGAGCGGAATTTAACAAACGTCGATCGCTCGTTTCGTGCTGGAATTCTCGAGCCTCCGCGACGTCCAGCGCGAACAAAAGTGTTCGGTTGTCACCGTTGCAACGAGGGTGGTCGGTATAATCGGCACGGTAGGTACAATAAGGGCGCAACAGGTGTGGAAAGGTCGTCGAATCGACAAATCGGGTCGAGAAAAGGTGGACAGATTGCGACTAATTAACTGACGCACACCGGATCCGTTTCTATCCAGATTCACACTTATTTCGATAAGAGTGGTTATTGTGGGGATCGTGTTCACGCGAGCTAGACGCACCGTCACTGTTGCTTTCACGCGATACGGTCCGTTTCTATGGTTTTTTCTCGAGGAATTTTCCGTGAAAACTGTCGACACTGTAGCAGCTAGGCGAACATCGCGCCGGATTAATATCTCTCTTTTGTCCGTACGAGATTCACGCAGCTGGGTCGGCCACTGGTTCCCCCTTTGACAGGGATAACAGGTTCTCAATTATCGGGACTGTACGGCCCTGTAAGGTCGAAGGTTACCAGGCAATTTCGCCTCCGCCTATCGTCCTACTTACCAGCCGTGGCTTATCCGTGGAAACTCATCTTGCCGGGGATTCTCGAAATCCATTGGCTTACCAGTTCTTTTCCTCGATTCTTCCTCTACGCCAGAATCTCGTGAAATTCCATTGAAACGAACGAGTCGTAATAACTATTCCAATTAATGTAGTTGAAAGCCTCGTTCCTTTTTATTTCGGATTGACGCGTGAACATATGGATAATGAAACGTACCCTAAATCCTCGGACACGATCGAACAACGGACGGCCGTGGATCCCCGATCTGTAGTATCACTAAATCCAAGGTAAGTCCGACGTGGCCGGAAAACGGGGAGCAAGTCCGTTAATCGACAGATAAACCGAACGAACTTGCCCGAGATGGGAGAGACTCGTACATAAGGAGCTGACTGCCCGTGCTTCCGCAATGATAAAACGCGATATGACCAGAAGAAAAGGAGGAGATTATCACAGGGGAAGCTTGTCGGGAGGTTATCGACGATAAACCGCGATCGCATCGCTTAATTTTCACCGTAGGAATGCTCGAGGAGAACGAGTTTTGGGGCTGACTTTGAAGTTTTAGTAGAAACAGCCCGTCTGTGATCAGACAACGTATAGAATCTTTGCTATTTTAGTTACTTTGGGGATACCAGCGATTCAGTCTGTACAAGGGGGTTACAGAAATTGATTCAGGACTATTATTTGGAGAAATTCACATGTAAGGTAGATAAACAAATTTACTATGACGTCTTTTCGCACGACAAGCTTCTCGGTCGCTTCTCTCTAGACGGAATGCAAAACCCGCGCATTACGCTTGTTTAAGAGGAGAACAGACGGAAAAGGACAAAGAACCGAGGAGGAGCCGATGGGGTGGATGCCCGGGATGCTTCGACGTAATACCTGGCTCGACGCCAAGTCGCGGTGTTCACCCTCGGTCGCGTGGAATACCCTCAGAATTCGAGAAATACTCACTCTATCGAGGCCACGAGTGCTTCTTTCGAATGAAGAGCGCTCGGTCGAAGGCCATTCAGTTCGGTGTTTCCCTCCCATCGGTGCGGTTGTTTCACCGTCGAGGCAAATGAAAGGAAGAAATTAACCCCTCACGGTTCAAGGGGTTTCCTTTGCCTTTCGAATATAATAACGCGAGTCAGGCACCACCGGTGATCGTAAAAAGGGACCGGTATGAAATAGCGAAGATTCACCGACGAAGTATTCCTCTTCTTCTTCTTTGAAATTCATGCCCGCGATCTAGGTCAATTCTTCCGGCGAGCTCTGCAAAAATTGTCCCGTAAAAGAAAACGCCCCGTTTCCCTGAGTCGCCCAAGAATTGCAAATGCATCCCCGGCGAGTCGGTAGAGTGCAACGGGGCTACGTTGTCGCGCTATTTCAGCTTTATTCGGCAAATTAACTTTCTTGTACATACTCACGTGTGTGTGTGTGTGTGTACACCTCGCCGAATGATTCCTCCGTCGTTGCATAGTTCACACGATAATGCAACGTTGCACGCTGCTTTCTCAAGCAACACGTTCGTCGTTTCAGCGTCGGTTTAACAAACTTCCCATGTAGCTGTAGAACGTTACTCTTGGACAGAAGTTATAAAAAATTCGGGTTATTTCAGGTTATTAACTATCAGTCGGTATAAATAGCCGTTAGAAGGGGGTACGGACCGAGCGCGTCATCCGTTTAGTAGAGCATCCGGGATCAGTAACGCGTGATCGGTAATCTCGTACCCTATTATGGATCGATTAATTTATTACGTGGAAGATTAAATTCTCGGCGAAGCGTTCCCCATCTGGTCTCGATAAGCAAACATATTTATCCGTGTAGCATCATGACATCGTCGACGATAGCTACCCGTATATATGCTTTTAATCTGCTGCGACCGGTATCGTTTCTTTCTTCCCTGTACTCCGCCTCTCCCCCACATTTGCATTTCAATTCTGTCGGTCCTTGTTCCATCCATTTTACGGAGAAACGGCGGACCCGGCGAAATTGGTCGGAAGACTGCGAAGTATAATTTTTAATAATGGTCAATGCTGAATACAAAGGCGTAACGGAAAACCAGAGTTGCGGGAAGTCGGAAATTCAGAGAGAAGCGAGTTACCCTCGAGTTCGCTGCGATTCCCAGTCACTCGGAAGCCGGAAGTTGGGGCCAAGTCCCTAAATTATGGCTGTTACCAGCGACTTGGCCTTTCGAAAATGGTCCCACCCGCTTGAAATTCCACCTTCCTACCAGAGATTTCCAGCTAGACTCCTAAAGTGGAACGAATGACTACGTTGTCAGATTTTCCTTTTCACCTGGCAGCCTTCTCTCGCACCTTTCCAAACAGCTCCCTCTATACGTGCCTTGTCCTACCCTTTATCTCGATCCAGCTGTACGCTTTTCCGTGTCCGTCGTCATAGAAAGATCTACGAAGCGTCTCCGGTGGCCGATTCGTTACCTACCGTGGATGGTTCGACTAGAAAAACTCGAATTCCGTACAGAGTCGGCACTTTTCGACGTCCCGTGAAAAACTGCAAAGCTCGCAGCAGCGATTATACGACGCCTCGGGGATACAGTTTTCTTGAGGAATCTAGAAATAGGAGCCACTTTGCTACCCCTTTTACCGTTACACCGTTCCTTTCTCGTTCCAAGAATGAGGACAAAGGTGCTATTCGTTCGACCGATTCCTTCTTTTTGCCGAACAACGTGCTGTGACTTCCCGCAAGTTTTTCGAACAAGAATACCAGTGAATCACGACGTGCATGCTTCGGAAACTAACGAGCGTACATCGAAGTTAATGTTATTTTCGTAAATAGAAACGACATCGTTCCAAACAACAACCCTCCTCGGTTTTGGAATCGTTTCGCATCCGGCTGCGTATCGTAACACCAGCTTCTCTTCAGACAATTTGTACTTTAGTAGGCCCCGCAAATCTGAAGCAACTGCTTTACTTTCCTTGTTTTGGTTGAAAAGTGGAATTCCAAGCTGACGCTCCCGATAACTCAAGCCGCGTGAACGACGTACCCGCAGAGAAACGTTTTGCACGTGAAGTCGGGGTCGCAGACGAAACAGAGATAAACGCGTCGGAATACGAAAGCTGGGGAACAATAGCGAGAACTAATTCTGTGGTTCGTTGAGTCGAGTAACTTCCATCGTGGTCGCGTTTGTACACCCTACGGCTGGTGGGTGGGTTGGCGAGGGTAAACTAGAAACATCGGCCAGGAAATCCATAGAGTGGAAATTAATTTCCTAGTTTCGATGTAGCGCTTTGTTCGGTATGAAACACGTTTGCTTTCATCAGTTGACGATGATGTTTGACAACCTGGCTCACGCTTCGGGATAGATGAACCGTGCTGATACACTTGTATTGATCCACCGTAAAATAGAGAATCGTCTCTTAAGATGTACGCTTTACGGAACAAAATCTTCCTAATGACACACACACAGTTTCCTCCGTCCGTACTTTAAACTCTTCATTCGGTATGTGCCGTTCAAAGTCGACTGAACGATGTTGATTAATGTCTCCGGTGGATTTTTTACAGTTCCCTCTGTAATAAACGTTTCTTTCGTCGAGCATAAAAGCGTATTCTCGGCGGCTGACGAGAGAACCACGGAAAGAAGTTAATGAACCTGACGGTTTTGTGTTTTAGGTGACGATGGAGGATAATAAAACTCGCAGGTATCAAGATAACGGGTGCTCGTTCGTGGTGGAGGTGCAGCCCAGCTATCAGAACGATGACACCGAGGCTAATAAAGGATCCTCCGACGACGTGACTGCGGGGGTCACCGACCAACAGGCGTTGGTACATAGAGAAGAAATCCCGGAGGATCGATCACCGGGTACAGAAACATTTTGACAAACTCTCCCGGCTTCCGCCGCCGCATTCTCGTCTGACGGACAAACCTATTAATTTAGCTGAAACCGTATCGTTACGCTGCAGGCTTCGAGAACACGAGACTGTTCGGAAGCACGAACACCGGACTGTCCCAGTCGGATCTCTCGATCTCCAGCCAGGGCTCGGTTAATCCGAGCTATCGTTATGGAAATCAAGTCGAGTACGATGCGGGCCATCTGGGTTATCCGATGTACGGGGGTAGTTACGAGTCCGATACGCTGTCCCGGAAACTGGAGGGAGGGTCCAAGTGGGTGGAATTCGATAAGTCGCCGGACACCGAGAAGACGTTGCTGAACGTGTCGAAAACGTCGAGCATGGAGAAGGACGCGGACGAGAGTGTGAGTAAATCACTGAGAATACAGATACCCTCCACAAATCCTGGTCTTGTCCAAACGCAATAGTATAATCGAGCTAAATTATTTCAGCCGTCAATGGTGGGAAAACAGAACAATCTGGACGCTTCGCAGGGATCAGGGGGATCGATGGATCAGCAGGATTCAACGGACGCGAGCCTTTCTACGGACACAGTCCGTTCGAATCCTAATCTTCAGGTGAACGGCGCCACCCCGAACAAGCTGGAGATCATGGAGCAGAAGGCCCTCAGCAACGACTTTGGTAAATCGGAGAACAAGCCCGTGATAACGGGGGCGTTGCTGAAGGACGATGTGCAGGAGGACACTTTCCAGGAGCAGCAACGGAAGCTCGGCAACGGGACCTTGACACCGGAGCACAAGGAGGAAAAGGCGAAGGATCAGAAACCGGAAGGCAGCACGTTTGTGCCGAGTCACAAGCGTAGCGGGAGTATCCCGCCGCGACTGATCGAAGAGACTTTGGAACTCGATCGGAAAAAAACGTTGGACATTTACAGTCAGATCAAGACCAGCACCAAGAGTATACTACCCGGGCTAAGCCCCAAGTTCGAGCTTCTTCAGAACGAAGTGAGTCCCATCGAGGAGAAGGAAAGTTAATGGAGATGGCTCATTTTCCCTTCGTGATCCGTCTCAGGTCCAAGCACGACATCGAACGATCGAAACGAGCATCGATTATTAGACGCACCCCCTCGAGGACTCCATCGGGAGAAAGTGACTCTCGAGGCGTCTAGATCCTCGCTTCGATAATTTTCTACGGGAACTTGAAAGTCCTTGGGGGCAATTGTTTATCCCTCGGAATATTCATACGGAGCCAAATCAAAATCCTGAATCAGGAGGTCCCGGTTTCGTGTTCAACGGAATCGGTTCTTACTCGACGAAACAGCCGTAACTCATTGTAGATATCCCATCGACGCCACAATCCACGGACGTGTTCCTTTTTCTCCTGGTAAACGTTCGTGGATATTACCACTTGCTGTGTGGAGCTCGCCAGAAACATTCACGGTATCAGGATCAAGGGAAACATCCAATTCCGACGGCCGACCTAGCGTTTCCGGTCACTCTTTCGCTCGAAGACCTCCGTGAAGAAACAGGATGGAGAGATAGCCGAGATTGCCCGCGACAAAACGATCGGGGGTGAAGAAAAATCAATGGATCGATTCCAGCAGCGAAAGGTAATACTGACCAGGATAAATTGGTGGTATCCAGGGGAGGGTGTTTTCGTAGCTCGGTGTTGGGTGAGGATTCAAAGCGCTCGGAATTGACAATATATCCTAATGACTATCCGCATTTCCCAACCCTTAACTCATCCCATTTCACAAGCTTCTCTCTCTCTCTCTCTCTCACACACACCCCTCTGCCCGTACCCTCCTTCGACCCTCTCTCTCCACCTCACTATTCCGAGGATTCGTGTGGCAGTCAACTCGGTTCGGCCGCTGAATTTACCAAAGCGAGGATATACGAACCGCGGAGAACAATCGGCGACTAACGAACTCAACGCGCCGCTGCGGATTCCGCGTCCGTGGTTCTGTGTGCGCAGCGACCGCAACCGCGCGCACTCGTATCGCGCGAAACACGATGCACACGGGGCCTCGATTGTTTGTCGAGAGGGACTGGAGTCAGGCACGCGTGTACCCTCTGTCCCGCGAGAAAAAGTCTGGGACTCGTTTGAAATTTAGAGAACTCGGGATAAGAGGGAAATTGCGGGGCTGGGTTGGATAACCGGAAGAGAACGGGCTAGAGAGTAGGGACGAAATCAACTAGCCGCTCGAGGATAATTCCCTCCGCCCTCGATCTCGCCAACCACCACACCTAATACGTACTTTTGTCACGGGGCTTTCTTTGTACAAGAAAACTGGAAGCATTGTAGGTTTGCCCAAAGAAAAAAAAAAAAAGAGTAGAAAGTGTGACCTTGAGATGCTGGATGATTTTGCTCTAACTAGATCGTGTAGGATGAGCTAAACGCTAGGTAAGACGAAGGCTAATTGTTTAGAATGTTGGTGGTGAGTAGTTGTTAATGCAACGCCGTCCTGGGGTCGCTAGTGACCTGCATGATTTGTATCCGGAATCTGAAGTGGAATGATCGATTTGTACGCAGACGACGAATATAGGATTCCTATGGATAAGTAACGGTATCCGAACAAAGGGGAAATCGTACCCCTATACTTCCTTTTTCTTCGACTCTTTTCTTGCGAATAGGATCTTCCCGAAGGAGAACCCATTTTCCCCTAAAGGTTTCTGAAAACGAGTCTTTACAGTTTAAGGATCGTTCGAAGGAGTCTTCAAGCGAATTTGTAATCCTTTTAGCGTGGACGGATGTGCATCGATACGTAGGTAATGTGCGTAACGAGAGATGATCGTGATACGATGCGGATATGTTTACCGAATTTTGTAAGTGGTTGTAGGGATCGTAAGCGAGTGATTTCCTTCGATTAATACAGTTTTACAAAACGAACCAGATTTACTAAGAATTTTCTATTGTCCGAGAGATTGTAGGTACGAATTAGCCGATAATTAAGCATCGTAATTGAAACGCTATTAAGTGTCCAGACCGATAGAACGTAAGATATCGGACCGATGCTCTCGAGATTCGGTCGATCGATGCGGTGGACCATCGTAAACCGTTGGTGGCATCCTCCGAATCTCGAGGGCCACGGTCGTTTAGCGGCTCGATCTAAGATTTAACTTCGAGATAATCAGAACCAGTAAACGATTTTAGGTATAACAGGTAATCCGTAAGACCATACGTGAAACGCGAGATTCGCGTCTCGAGGAAGTCGAACAGAGAGGCTTAAGATTAACGCTACCAAAGTGGATTCTAGTGCCAAAATAGTTCCTTAAGGTTTCTCGAGAGCAACTCGACGAACGTATGCCGAACGACTATACTCTTGATAATTACTTATTACTTGTACGTTTCGTGCAGATGCTGCGTTACCAATATTTCAGATTTTATACGCTTCCGTTGATTAGTGCGAACGTTTGTTGTTGATATGGTGCTATTGCGTGTGAATCCACGGGGGGCCGCGGAGACAGGATGTCCCTCCGCTCCTCGTTCGTCGCTCGTCATCGGCTCTGACGAGCCACGACCGATTCGGTGAGAATTCAACGTCCTTCCGATTGTATCCTGAAGAAAAACAACTCGGGTCGACAACGAGTATATTAGCAAGAGACGCGCAGTCTCCCATTTCGCGTGAAACCATTATCGAGACCGAGCCGACGAATGCGATCACCATAAACACACACACACACACATACATTCATCGAAAAGTATTTTCATCGACGTACGATGACAAATTGTAGCGCAATTTAGCGATTAAGTAGTCACACAGTAAGTAAGAATCTAGCTGTACACACACACATATACACATACACACACACACAAACAATCCCCCCGTACCGAATCAATTCATTTTCGACTCACGCGCGTTCCCCACGTTCAAGTCACGCTCCCGCTTTTACACCGCTAACGAAGTAAGTCTAGCTCCCAGGTTTAGCGATTCTCGTGTGGCTGTCAATAGATGGTATTAGAGGTCTAATTGTGGACAAGTATAAATTTTATATAAGACCTGAATGTCTCGCGTATTTCTAGAAATATTTCTCACCAAAGTAGCTGGTCGCGTAGGGGTCGATCGGTCGACCATATTAGGTCGTTCTCGCGTCGATTCAGGTTGCTCTAAAAGAATCTTTCTTTAAAATCGAGATCACTTTGAGAACAGAATTGTCCTGATCGATGTACCGAGAGAACGCTCTGTGATCGACGCGAGAACCGAATTACACTTAGTAAGGGGAAACCATTCTCTGTTCTTTGACGTAACGCTCTGGTATTCTATCGCATCGTGCATCACAAACTCGTAAGGACACATTAGAGATAATGACTCGTAGAGGCTCGTCGAGGTAAGACTCAATTAACGATTAAGGCAGACGCGGAGATCCCTCGAAGGGATCCCTGGCACACGACCGTTCCATATGATCAATTAAATTCGAATCGTAGTTATTAAGCGAACGAGACGGCAAGGAAAACAGACAGTTTAAACTTGGGCTTAGATGACGTCGAGCTTTCGTTCACACCGATTACGTTTTCTCTCTCTCTTGTTTTGGCTATGTTTCAGCGACACCCCTCCCCCTTCGTTCGTCCTTTCGCTCCTCCCATGCCTAGAAGATCCAAACGCATCACCATCCGAAAGTAACTTTGTCCATCGTGCTGGAATAGTTGTGTACACTCGCGCAGGTCTTTTTAGAAGGAATGTGTGGACATTCATTTTTCGCTAAGGTACCACGGTGTATATGTCAATTTATTTTGCAAAATAAACCATTGGACACGAGCTCTGTTGTACAGTCGTGAGTTCCCACGAGACTCTCAACTATCCACTTAAGTTTAGATTAACTGTGCTCTTTCTTTTTCTTTAGAAATATTTTCATTCCCGTTACGATCTATTTTTTTTATTGATTTGCACACGTTTCGTAAGAATTAACTACAGTGGATAAGTTCATGTCGGTAACGCGACTCGACCAATATGTCGGTCCTAGAGGGTGCGCACCCCTATAGAGTTGATGACCATCAACCAAGCAAGTCGAACCACCCTCTAACGCCCTCGGTAGGATACGCCATCTAGAAACGACGAGTCGAGGGTTGAAACCACACAGCTTCTCTGGTAAAATATTTCAGGAGGGTGAATGAAAGAGGGATGATGGAAATGCGAGGGTGGTGACGCCAACAGGCAGTTCGTGGAAACGCGAAATATCGCTGAATTATACATGCGCGTTTTTAATTCGGTAATCAATAGTAAAAACCGCTAATACATCCCCACCATTTTTCCGCTATTCCGGATTCGCCAATGCCCAACTACCCGGCAACCCTTTGCGATTTCGCGTGGGTGGAGCCGCTGTTTGGCGGCTCCCTATTTTCACGATCGACCCGTCGGATTTCGAACCCGGGATTTCTTTTTAGGTTTTTTCTCCGCCCCCCTCCCACTCCACCCACCCCTCGTGCGCGAAACGAGATAACGAACGAGACACGAATTATACAAAATTAACTTCGTTCCGGTAAAATGAATACCTGAAAAAAAGGAAATACACTTTGAGCAATGGGGTTGCCCGGCACGGCGTGTGAATTACGAGCACAAAGATCAGCGACGATATTATTTTATGATTTTTTCGTTTTCCTTTTGCAATCGACACCTTTTTTCTTTCGAAGTCTGTTCGCGTATATTGGATAACGTAACCAGACGACGGAACAATGGCGGTGTATCTACAGATGCGGATCTATGGTACTTTGATCCTTCGAAGAAACGTGTCGCGAATAACGCCCAAAGTCGTCGGAGTACGAAGACATTTTTGTTTCTTTGAATAAAACGGAGGGGGACAGTGACAAAGATTCCAAAGGACCGAAATCGGTGGACGGCGAAGCATCGGCAGGCGGGCTTTATATTCGATAATTTTTCCAAGGTGAAGCCAATTACGTCGTGAAAGACGCGAACCGATGCGGGACGGGAGTGGCTCGTAGGCAGAGGCACGCACGTCGCTCAGGCGAACGTTTGCGCGACCATAATTACTGTTTATTAAAGACGATTGCAAAAACCGGGCAGGTGCTCGACCCAGGAGCAAGACAGCGAGGGGAGGAGAGAGAGAAAGAAAGAGAG